CATAGCTTCCCGCTGCCTTTTCTATAAATATTTTCATAGCAATTGTTCTGATGAGCTTTCCTCTGGTTCGTAGACTTTATGAATTTAAGCACGGTACTTGCAGCTAGGTCTTGCACTTTACTACTGTCATAATGCAGCTTCCATATGCCTTTTCTGTGATGTACAGTGGCTGTTAATAATTAAGTACAACTCAAGACTTCAGTGTTAAATAAAATAGTATTTAATTACAAGAAACAGATAAAAATCAACTCAAGATAACCATTTTAGTGAATACCTTGTCAGTAGAGTGGCACAGCTTACATCCGGTCAAAACCCAAATCATCGACGCACATTAATTCACACTAATTCAACTGAATAGTTCCACTCAATAATCAGTGCAGTCGGTAGCCTGACAGCGCTATTTATACATCTGTCAGAAAACATAAATCCAGAGTGTCACACTCAAACTTTGGTGTCGGTAGTTACTCATTTTCTTCCTATATGACACTTTTCTATAAATACTTTCATAGTAATTGTTGTGATAAATTTTCCTATATGGTACCTAGACTTTATGAATTTAAGTGCATTACTAGAATGGCATCTAGGTCTCATTTTAAAGTTGAAATGGATAGATGTAACCACAAGTTCAATGCTAACAGTTTCTGTTAAAGGGTGTGTTTAAACATGAGGTTGATTTCAAGCCTGAACCTGATTATCAACCCAAAACAAGTGGAATGTGACTCCTCAAACCACAACACACATTGCCAGTTGTTTAAGTTCCAATTAGTGACATTACAATCCCAGATGAGATGCTGGCTCTGATGTTAACAGCCACCTGATGATGCATTGCCTTATCTTGTTGGTATAACTTGTTGTTGGGCTACATGTAGTCCAAAAATGGATACAAATGGACACAAAGCAGTGCAATGTAACAGTCACCAATCGGAGACCTAAGCTATGCTAGGTCTTTATGAAACCACCAATTTTCACAGTACCTTGTTATCAGACTGGGATCGATAATCTCATGGAGTTTGTACCCACACCTGAACTCTACTATCAGCTCAAAACAACTTGAACCATGAGTGATCAGACTATGTCACACATTGACAGTCATCTTAGGTCCAGTTCAGTGATGATATCATGATATTAACAGTGATGTCCTGGTGGCTCTTCTGCTCCCGTATCACACGGAAGTGAAAGAACACTGAACTGACCTTCTGCATATGGGTCTGATATTGAATGTGAATGGGATTCTAACTGGCATTGCTTGTGTGTTAATGCACATAATTTTAGCCAGACCCCTCTGGTTGTCATCATTCTGGCCAGGCGTCCCTTATAAAATTATGACTCAAATTAGTTAATGTTCATATGATAAATTTATTCTTACAAACTTAGCTAACACTATTTACATTATTCGGACTATTGTTCTCATCTTTGTTGCCATATTTATTACAATGTTTTGGCCGTTGTAGGCTCCATCCTTCTTCAGTATTTGTCTATATTTCTGAGATGAGGTATTATGTACACTATTTACATTATTTGGACTATTGTACTCATTTTTGTTGCCATATTTATTACTTTTTGGTCGTTGGACACTCTGTCCTTCTTCAGTATCTGTTCAGTAGACTGTTCTAGTTCCATGTGTCATGTTTAATGGATGTCAGTTATCAGTTTAATTCTCCTCTCCAAGTTCTCGACTGCCTTAACTGGGTATTGAACTCACACTCTTTGGGTCCTGTCACTGGATATAACCAACACCTTTATCCACTGTGCTATGTGTCCTTGAGGACACATGGCACAGTGGATAAAGCCGAAACATTGTAATAAATATGGCGACAAAGATGAGGACAATAGTCCAAATAATGTAAATAGTGTACATAATATCACATCTCAGAAATATAGATATTGAAAGTTAGCTAATAATTGTTGAATTATGAATAACTTATTAATTATGAAGAGAGTTAAAAAATAGCGGAAATTATGGTATTTTATGGTTGCTAAAAGCTGGGCTTTAACAAAGGAGTAGGATTAAGATTGATTGATTTGAAGTTTTTTTTTTTTTTTTTTTTTTACAGTTTATTAACCTTTTTCAGATGATTAAAGCCAGAAAATATTTTTAGATAGTAAGAATTTTTTAAAAGATAATAATGATTTACCCATACAACTTTCTTAGCAGTAAATCTAAAAACTAATTCAATATAATCATTCGAAGTCATACCAGTGAAAAATATTGGCCCAAAAAGTGGCAATAAGTGAGTCGCTTTCCAGGAGGTTAGCATCAGCCATACTGATGAAAACATTTAGCAACTAGCTCTTTAAATTTAAAAAAAAAGTAAATTAAGTTTAATATTTAATAAAATAATAGTAATAATGAAGAGTGTATTGAGTCAGCATGCTAGGATAAAAAGCAATAATAAGATGGAATAAAACTATTAATAAAATAGTAATAATGAAGAGTGCATAGAGCCAGAGTGTTGGGATAAAAAGCAACAATAAGATGAAATAAAACTAGTAATAAAATAATAGTAATAATGAAGAGTGTATAGAGCCAGAGTGTTGGGATAAAAAGCAACAATAATAAGATGGAATAAAACTAGTAATAAAATAATAGTAATAATGAAGAGTGTATAGAGCCAGAGTGTTGGGATAAAAAGCAACAATAATAAGATGGAATAAAACTAGTAATAAAATAATAGTAATAATGAAGAGTGTATAGAGCCAGAGAGTTGGGATTAAAAAAGCAACAATAATAAGATGGAATAAAACTGGTAATAAAATAATAGTAATAATGAAGATTGTATAGAGCCAGAGTGTTGGGATAAAAAGCAACAATAATAAGATGGAATAAAACTAGTAATAAAATAATAGTAATAATGAAGATTGTATAGAGCCAGAGTGCTGGGATAAAATAGCAACAATAATAAGATGGAATAAAACTAGTAATAAAATAATAGTAATAATGAAGAGTGTATAGAGCCAGAGTGTTGGGATTAAAAAAGCAACAATAATAAGATGGAATAAAACTAGTAATAAAATAATAGTAATAATGAAGAGTGTATAGAGCCAGAGGGTTGGGATAAAAAAGCAACAATAATAAGATGGAATAAAACTAGTAATAAAATAATAGTAATAAAATAATAGTAATAATGAAGAGTGTATAGAGCCAGAGGGTTGGGATAAAAAAGCAACAATAATAAGATGGAATAAAACTAGTAATAAAATAATAGTAATAATGAAGAGTGTATAGAGCCAGAGTGTTGGGATAAAAAGCAACAATAATAAAAATGAGTAAAACTCGTAATAAAATAATAAATTTTTTTTTTTTGTTCCACACACAAGATAATTATAAATATGAACACTCACCATACACAGGATAAATGGGCTTTACAACCATCTTTCTTTTCTTTTCTTTTTTTTTAAACTCCGAATTTGGGAAAAAGTTAAATTACATAATGAAATAAAATTCAAACTCTTGAGAGAATGGGGTCCCAATTTTTGTTATTCAATGAAGTTTTCAATTCCCAGAGAAGTTTGCTTGAACTAATGACACAGCACAAGCAAATACAACAATGATTTTATTAAAAGATAATCCTTAAGAACGTTTTTTTTTTTATTTATCTAAACAGCAATCATTTCAGTTCAGTCAATTATCAACTTGGCAGCTGTAAATTCCGTCAGGTTTTAACAAGACAAGACACAACAATTTAAACAGACTAATCTGCCCACTCAAAGGTACTTGTGAAAGATAACATTTAGATAACACAGAGGGGAGGGGTAATAAAATAAAATTCTCAACAATTTACAAAAAAATACACAAAAAATATTACAAAATGAATTCTTTTCCAAAACTGGCAGAAAATTTAATTGTTTAATACCAACTGACAAGTTACTTAACACTCTGTTAGTACTGCAAGGCATTGTTATAGAATTACTATGGTGGGATTTTCAAATAAACCTTTCGAAATATTATAGAGACATCATTTTGTTCTTAATTTTCTTATTAGACATTGTCTTGAATGTTCTTTTGAGTTTTTATAGGATAAGAACAAGATTTTCCAACTGAATTTCTGAGATGAGGAGTTTTTTTTTACATTCAGACTAAAGTCCTCATCTTTGTAGCATTTAAGCCATTGTAGTTCAGTTTGAAAATCCCTGAAAGTCACCCGGATTGACAAACATCTAAAAATGGCCAGAGAGCACAACAGCCAAAATATTGATAATAACAAAGATGAGGATATTTGTCTGAATACTAATGTAAATAACAAAAGGGTTTTATTTTTGAATAATTAACAGGCTAATACTAAAAAATGAATTTGTAAATTTCAAAAATTCAAATATGCAAAAATAGGTTTCTTTTTATTTTCGGTCTGATCTTTTAAAATAATTTATGATCAATCTGACTCCTCTTCAACTGTTTTGTTCTGATTCCAAGCAACAAACAAAAAGGTTACTGCGATATTTGCATATGTTTCTACTGCAATTATTAGTTTTTACTTTATGTTCACATGCTGGTAATTCCCACAAATATTATAACTAAAATAAAAAAATATTCTTGAAGCTACTTAAGACAGATATTCAGTAAACTACTTGACTAATTATGAAAATTTTACTTGCTAAATAGTAAAGAAAAAACATTTTGCGGTTTGTTCAAGCAAAAGAATAAGGCTAAAGAGACACCTAGAAAAATATGAAGTATTTAGGGTCAAGGGGTCATAACTGACAAATACGAAATTGGTTTGCAAAGTTTTTGTCCTGGAGAAACGTTGTTAGAAGATGGACACAGACTGGGGCATTCATCAGATTTTAATGTGGATGTTCTAAAGTCATTAGTAGAAAGCAATCTGTGGCAAAGTACTTTTGGGTTTGCAAAGATATGGGTTAAATAGCAAAATAGAATGTCAAAGAGAAGGAAAACTCTGAATTCCAAACCATTCTTTCTTTTTCAACAATACATGACGACTCATGAATAATAGAGAAAATTAATCTGTGGCATCATGATCATCAATGTTCTTAAGAGACACAGCATTGAAGGGAAGAAGAGAAAGAGAGAAAGAGAGAGAGAAAGAGAGAGACAAAGAGAAAAAGAGAAAGAGAGAGACAAAGAGAAAAAGAGAGACAAAGAGAGAGACAAAGAGAGAGACAAAGAGAAAAAGAGAGACAAAGAGAGAGACAAAGAGAAAAAGAGAGACAAAGAGAGAGACAAAGAGAAAAAGAGAGACAAAGAGAGAGACAAAGAGAAAAAGAGAGACAAAGAGAAAAAGGGACAAAGAGAAAAAGGGAGAAAAGACAGAGAAAAAGGGAGAAAAGAAAAAAGAAGAAAAAGAGACAAGAAAAACAAACAAACAAAAAGGAAAAACAAAAAGAAAAAAAAAAATGGGCACAATGAGAAAATAATTCTATGTGTAAACAAACAATATAGCATAAAGTAAATGAAAAGGTGAAGTGTATAACAATGTAACTTCATTTAAATGATGTTTGCAGATTTATTTTTGTGCAGTGATAGGTAAAATATTGTTCAGGTCAGGTAGATAACGGATGCCAGTCCAAGTCTTTTTTTCAGAATCTAATTATTTCCAATCAATACTGTTCACGTCATGATTGCAAAAAAACTCATGAGCATTGTGAAATGGCAACAAAAATAATTACTAGAAAAAGCTTGCCAAAAAATGTTTTTTTAACATGGGCGATCAGGGTTCTTCACAGCTTCCTTTTTTAACATCTGTGAATTGCCATGATTTCTCAGGAAAGATAGTAAAGTGGCTTCCCATTGCTTTTTCTATGGTTTTGAATTTCTAATTTGCGTTCTCCTATACGCATTGCAACCCAAAGCCATTCTAGATCTCTATTTAACCCATAGCTGAGGGCAGGTGGGATGGATTCCGGTCTTCCCTAAAAGCATTAGTGTGAAAATGAATGCAACAAACCAGGATGAAATTTGACCTCAGCTCACTGATTCTACTTTCCACACTGATAACCCTATGATACCCACATTATCTCATTAACGAGATGTGTATGACTTCATAACAAAGTCTGTAAATTTTAATTACAAAAAATAAAAAAAAATAATACATGGGCTTAAATTATATCATTATCAATTGAATAAAATACAAAGTTTTATAAAAAAAAAAAAAAAAACAGCACAAAAATAATCAATACTTGCTGAGTATTAATGAAATACACTGCTTATTTCCTAGAAAATACAGGCAATATATTTTAATATATTTTCTGTTTATACATTATTTTTATACATATAATTTATTTAAGTAAATGCTTTATTTTTTTAATTAAACAGTACTAATTACATTTACCAAGCTGAATGACAGAGAAATTTCATAGAAAATATGTGCTTCTTTGACAGGAATCAAACCTGTAACCCTTTATCAGAACCTATCCTCAAGGACACATGGCACAGTGGATAAAGGCGTTGTTTAGATCCAGTGACAGACCCAAAGAAGGTGAGTTCAATTCCTGGTTAAGGCAGTGGAGAACTTTCAGAGGGAAAATTAGCAGGAGATAACTGATAACTGACATCCATCAAAACATGGCATGTGGAACTAAAACAGTCTACCCCAGTGATCGAAATAAAGGGTTCAGTTCGAAATTCCAACCACCTGAAGAAGGCCGGAGCATACAACGGCCGAAACGTTGTGACAAATATGGCGACAAAGATGAGGACAATGGTCCGACTAATGTAAATACTGTACATAATGCCTCATCTCAGAAATATAGACAGACCCTATCAGAGAAGCACATATTTTTGACAAAATTTCTCAATCATTCAGGCTGGTAAATGTAAGTAATACTGTTTAATTAAAAAAAAAAAACAGAGCATTTACTTAAATCAATTATATGTATAAAAATAATGTATAAACGGAAAATATATTAAAATAATTGTTGGACTTAATCTGTTTCATATACAGGCAATATATAGAATTATACAATGTGTGGCAGAAATACATCCTACGTAATGGTAAAACATTACTGGCAAAGATGACTTCATTGAGATAATGTTTTACCATTATGTGGAAGGTATTTCTGTCACACCCTGTTTATATATATATATATATATATATATATATATATAAACTATGTTATCAAAGATTTGAATTTTCAGAAAAGCCAAAATGACTTCCAAAAAACTACTATGTAAAGGTGAATAAAAAAGATATAAGAATAAACTGATCATTTGTTTCTTTTTCTTTCAAATAAAATCTATATTGGTGGCCAAGTAATTGTGAGTTCAATACTTGGGTAGGCTAATAAGTATATTAGACTCAATGGAAACAGGACAAGCAAGATATTATAACTGAGTCATTTGTTCATTAATCCTCATCAAAATCTAATAATGTAGAAGTGCAGGAGCCTAAAGAGAAAGTAAATTGTCTTTTCTTTATCTCAAGGAAAATGGATCCAAAATGTCTGGTCTTTTTTGCCAAACCCTACCACAAAAACCAAAACCCTAATGTAAGTAGAAGAAAGGACTAACAAATTAAACACATTAACATATGACAATTTTGGTCTATTGGGGACTAACAAAACCCCTCAAAATATCATGCCCTACATTGCTAATTTCAAACTTTTGACACCATTAATCTTTTCTTCAGATAAAGCTGTAAAAATCTGGCAACTAGATTAATCCAACTGAAATGATGTACAAGACTGACCATTTTAAAGAATAGCTGTAATGTTTTAAATCTCTCAGATCAAATTTGTGTTAAAATTTAACCCGAAATCAACACTATAAATTGAGTTTCTTGTTGCCAAAAAAATGTAACTTGACTTTCTTTTTAGGAGATTCACTTTTGGTGAGGACTTACAAAAAAGAAAAGAAAAAAAAAAACACCTATAATTGTTCCAGGAAACTTTTTGTTTTCAATGTACATACATCAAAACTGGTTTGCCTTTGTTGTTTGATATGAAGAGTTAAGAAAAACTAATTCAGAAACCATTCTTGGTCATTGCAAGAACTCTTGTGAAAAGGAGGTAAAAAATACAACCTCCCCACCACTTAAAGCTATTTCAATACATTTAAAATAAATAATAATAGGCAACAAAAGAATTGGAAAGGTAAAAATTAAGAGGAAGATCACAGCTGATTTCAATCATTCTTACTTTGTGCCATTTTGTATTATCTACAGAGAGACAAAAATTAAAGGCAAAAAAAATTTAAGTTACTAGAAAAATAATGAAAAAAAAACACTCACACTAGAAGTTCTTGATGTCCATGACAATTTTTTTATGGAAAAAAAAGTCACAAACAAATAATTCAACTAGAATCTTAAATCTTAACACTTCAACTGTACTATAGGATACATAAATCATTTCAATTGACACATATACATGGAAAATCCTATCAGCAGCAGTTGCCCCTTTTCAGCTTTTGAGCCTGTATGCTGTAAATCAAAAGAGACTAATTTACATTTTTCTGAGGCTGAGATCGGGATAGGATGCTAAAATTAGTGCTCAGTGCAGTAGCTGCACATGGATTAAACAATACATATCACTCACTAATTCAGTAAATTCAGCTTTTCTTTCATTCTTTACAGAGACTCTTAAGAACATTCCTTGAAATTTTCTGTACATGAAAATGATCCTGATAGAATATTTTTATGCGGTTTTGTTTCCCCCTTTTGTCTTTTCTCAATACTTTTTGTTTAACACGTGACCCCTGAGATTGTGACAGAATGCTAAAGTTAGCATTCCATACAATAGATGCATATGGTGTAGACAGTATATCTAACTAACTTGCTAGTTCGCCAGCAGTCAGTTCAGATAGAATAAATATTTTTATGTTGTTTTCTTTCCCCATTTTGTTTGCCTCTTTTCTCAACAAACTCAGTACTTTTATTTTTTGTTCAACACCATCTCAATTTCAAACAATGACCCCCAAACTTAATAACAGAATAAACAAATAATCATAACATAATGTCTGTTTTATTTGGTTAATGTTCAATAAAATATTTCACTAGAAGATCATGTAATCCTAAGAATTCTAAAAAGATTGCGATCTTAAGAGAATAAAAGGAGAGCCTCCAAGAAACCAGGAAGAGTGACAGGTCTCTACAAAAAGCTATTTTTAAAAAGGATTGAGTCTCATATTTATTCGTTTTTCTTTGGTGGCTTCTTTTCTCCCCCTCTTAAAATTTAAAACCAAAAATTGTAGTTTATGAAATTTATACCCTCCCAAGTGTAGGTCAATAAAAATGATAGCAGCAATAATTTGATTTGGCATATCAGATAAAGGAAAGTACACTTCTGCACATACGTGTTCATACACATACACACGTAGATATCAACCTGTGTAGACAACTATACCAAGTTGAAATTCTTATGGGTTGATACATATTTCATGTGTACATTGTCTATATATGTATGGTCTCATCATTTTAAAGTTCAAATGGACAGATGCAACCATAAGTTCTATGCAAATAGTTTCTATCACACTTCTTGCTTGTAAAACTCTCTTCTGGTTTCTTGCTTTCCAGTCAACTTTGATCTTCAAAAAATTTAAATGCAATGTCAATCGTTATCATCCATCTTAATTTCTGTTTTTTTTATTGTTCTCTCCCCTTAATAAAGTTTTTCTTCTCATATTCTCTAACACAGTAACCACTTGCATCTTAATGGCTTTATTGCCTTGCATGGGAGTGAAATGATTAAAAAAATATATATATATATATATATATATATATATATATATATATATATTGTGAGTTTGTGCTCAAGATTCTGGTAAATGTGTTCAAGCATATCGGCTTCAAGATTGTTCCTTTTTATTGTTTTTTGGGTTATGGTTTGCTTTTTCTATTCCGATTGCTTAAATTAGAACGTGTAGCATAAGGATTTCTTATTAAAGACAATTAAGAAGATTGAATTGTTTTTTTTTTTTTTCTTTCTTTATCCAAATTAGGTTGGAAAATAAATAAGTAAAAAGCACATTTTGTGTTAGACTTTTGTCTGGATATAGAGAAGTTGGGATAATGAAAGGTTCTTGACTTTAACCACATTCCAAAAATCTGACTCTCCAAAGATTATAATGGTTTTGGGTTTTTTTGGTGAGGGGGAGGGTTACAGTCATTTGAGAGATTTTCAGCACCCCACATATGCACAGAAATATATATTTTCTGTATAAAACAGCACAACATATATATATATATATATATATATATATACACATTAAGAATTGGACAAAGTCCGACAATTTATTAATATATATATATATATATATACACACACACACACAAGGACAAGAGAAAAATCTTTTTATTCATTTTGTCTCTTCTACAGATACACGTCACCTGAAAATATTTACACACACATTAAATGTGCCATAGTTAGCAGAAAGTGCTCAAATATACGTGATAGAGCTAACATATGCAGTTGCATGGGAAGTTGTTTGTGACCTTAGGTTTCACGCTTTCG